AAGAGACGACGCAGCCAGCTCCGCACCCACTTGGCACACACAGGGCCCGGGTTCCGCCCCTGGCACTGCCATCCATCCATCCCTGGAGTGGCAGAGAGGGGGGCTGCAGGTCGGGGCCCGACCCTGCCCTTTCCCTCGTGCCCTGTCCAGCTGCACCCCTGCAGAGCCTGGGGTAGAACTTTCCCTCCACTCAGCCCACTGGGGGCCAGTCCTGTCCCAAAGGGAGCCGGGTTATGCAGGCTCGTCCAGAGGGAGCATGAAAAGCAGGTCATAGGGGGCTGGAGGGATAGCACAGCAGGTAGGATGTTTGCCTTGCACGCAGCCGACCCGGGTTCGATTCCCAGCAACCCATATAGTCCCCCCGATCACCGCCAAGAGTAATTCCAGAGACAGGAGGAACTCCTGAGCACCACCGTGTGTGACCCACAAAGCAAAAAAAAAAAAAAAAAAGGCAGGTCATTATTTTGGCTAAGTGCTGGATGTTTGTTTTGCGGGGAGGGTTTGGTTTATTTACGGGTTTTGACCTGTGCTCCGAGCAGTACTCAGGGCCCGGAAGACCCGGGATAAAACCGGGGTTGGCCACATACAAGGCGGTTTCATAAACTCATTGGCACCAAGTCGGGCTGCCCCTGGACTGGCTGGTTGCTTCATTTCCTCCCCCTCTCCCTGACTCTGAGACCATCCCCAGGCTCTGCCCCATGCCCCCAGCCCAATAATCTGGGCCCTGAAGCCTGGCCTGGAAAAAGCCCCACCTCACCCGTCAGCCTGGTGTCCTGACCTCCCCCAGGGACGCAGGGGCCCTTATCTGCGCACAGACTAAATTTAGATCTTAAACTCTGACAATCAGCCTGGGAATTCCTGGAGAATTCCAGCCAGGTCCAGCGGTTTTAGCTGTTCTCTGCCCGGCAGTTTTGGTGTGTGTGGGGAAACGGGCCCACCTGGGGCTGGAGCAATGGGACATGGGGGCAGGGCGTTAGCTGGCACGCAGCAAACCTGGGTTCAATCCTGGGCTCCCCAGAGTGTCCCCCAAGCACCACTAGGAGGGATTCCTGAGTGCAGAGGCTGGAGTATCCCCCTCCGCCCCCCCCCCCCAAAAAAAGTAATGACTGTCCTGCAAAAGCAAATTTGTAAAAAGGGAAACTCATTGATACTGACTCAGCAGAACCGTAGTTTCCGGGCAGCGACAGTCTCTTCTTTCTTTCCAAGGTGTGTGCGTGTGCGTGGTTGTCTCTGTGTGTATGGGGTGTGTGTGTGTGTGTGTGTGTGAGGGAGTTGTGTGGGGTGTATGTGTGGGGGGTTGTATATGTGTGTGTGTGTGTGGTTATCTCTGTGTGTATGGGGGGTGTGGAGGGGTTGTATATGTGTGTGTGGCTGTATATGTGTGTATGGTGTGCGTGTGGGGGTTTGTATGTGTGTGGCAGTGTATGTGTGTATGGTGTGCATATGGGGGGTTGTATATGTGTGTGGTTATATATATGTGTAGGGTGTGCGTATGTGGGGTTGTGTGTGGATGTTGGAGGGCTTTGGCTATCTGACCCCCTCCAGATCAGAGGGTACGTGCAGGCTGGTTAGTTTGGGGGGTGGGTGCGCCCACTGGGCAGTGCTCAGGGGAACATGAGGATCAAAGCCGGGGTCCCGTGTGCCCACAGCCTACGCCTGGCCCCTTGCTCCGGCCCCTGCCCACTGTTGCATGTTTCTGCAAGAGTTCGTGGGCACCAGGTCCCCAGACCTTCGTGGGTCTGTGGCCCATGACTGTCCCCCACCGTCTGCTGCAGCCCCCAGACCCTCAGTGCTTGAAAACCACCTCTGTCGCCATCATTCTGCCAACGGCCCTCCGTGCCCCCAGGGGAAGCCACTGGAAGCTCCAAAACCAAGTTCTGAAGACGATTCAAAAGGCCCGAGTTTGTTTTTCTTTTTTTTCGTTTTTTTTTTTAAACAGGAAAATAACATTAATATAAAACAGATAAAAACACAGAAAAATAAAAACACAACACACAAAAGCACAACACGCGGGACCACGGCCAACCCTCCCCAGCCCGCTGCCCGCCCCCAGAGCCATCCCTACCCAACCGTGAGGAGGCATCGACGAGGTCACAGTATTGAATCAGAGAGAGAGGGGACGGTGAGACGCCCTGGACGCAGGGAGTGGGGGGGCACGGCCCCCCTCCCCCGGCGGCGGCAGGAACCTAAGGCAGGACGCGGGGGTCTCCTGCCGCCAGGCCGGTCCCCGCCTCTCCCCGCCACCTTTTTAAGTTGCTTAAAAAAAAAAAAAGGATCAGAAAGTGCGAGACGCTTTCATAAGGCACAGACAGAATGTTGTACGAGCCATTTCGGGGGGCCTGGGTGGACGGGGACGAGGGGACACTGAGACGTAGGTGGCAGGACGCCACGTCTTCCTGAGCCAGTGTCCGTCCGCTGGACGTGGGGCAGACGCGAGACCCCAGCATCCCTCCCCGCCCCGGGTGTGGGAAAGGGGGGGCAGTGGGGGAGGGGCCCCGCTGTGGGGTCTGTCCCTGGGTCACGGCGGGAGGCTCAGGATCAGGGTGCAGTCTGGGGGGGTCACCAAGGTCAGAATGGGGCGAAAGGCCCCACGGGCCCCAAGTCCCCTCGGGCCCCTGCACCGGGCCAGCTCTCAGCTGATGGTTGAATGGCTGTGTGTGGCCTCAGAGGACCGGGAGGGCCCCTCGGCCCACCCCTGAAGAGGCATTGGGTGGACCCGGAGTGACCGCCTGCTGGGGGCACGAGGACTGGGGTGGGCTCCCACATATCTGCCGGGCCCCCAAAGTGCCGCTCTCCTGGGAGGGCCCCCGGTCAGAGTCCCAGGGTCGAGGTAAAGGGGCCGGGGTGACCTGGAGAGGACCCCTCTTCCTCTCGGCGGTCACGATGAACAGACACGAGACTCGGGGAGGGGGTGTCCTCAGTCCCCCACTTCCCCCGGGAGGGGACACGACTTCCCCCAAGCTGCCCCACGCAGACACCCTGTGGACGGGTGTGGGGGCAGGCAGGCCTGAGGGGGAGGGCTCGAAGGGCCGGGGCCCCACACCCGGCCTGGCAGCTCTCCCTGCGGCCAGTTTAAGCTCAGCCCGTGGGGGGGGGGGGGAGTCCCGGGCACACAGAGCTGGGGGGTCGGTGCCACGCTTCAGGGGGGCTAAGGGACGTCCGCTTCCGTCTGGGCGCCTCTGGGCCTGGCAGCAGGGATGAGCTGCAGGTCAGCGCCCGGGCTGCCCAGAGGGCCAGCGCGCAGGGCCCCGGTGACGTGGTTAGGAAGGGGGTCTTGACCCCGCCCCCCCCAGCTCTGGCCTCACCCAGCCGGGGCGGCAGGAAACATCTGGTTTACGCCCGCCCCCCTCCCCATTTCTCCTGGTAACCCGGGTTTATTTATGGAGCCGCAGGGCCGGTCCGACAGACCTGGGCTTTTCCACCCAGCTGACCGGTCACCATGGCCACCCTGGGGTGCAGGCCCTGGGTGAGGTCACTGGTTTACCAGGAGTGGCTGGGACTGGGGAGGGGGGGAGAAAATGCAGCAGGGGACGGGGGGGGGGCTGCATTTGCCGGGGGAGCCCACCAGGGCTTATGACCGCGGCTCACGGGGATGGCGGGGCAACTGTCCCCCTTCTGGGGACGCCTGTCCTCCTACCCAGGCCAGCAGGCAGCCCCCCCAAGGGGCATGTGGGGCTCCCCGAGCTCCCTCCAAGGTTCTGCAGACAAATCGAAATGGGGGTGCGTGGGGGGGCTGTTTCCCAAGCCTGCGGGGGGGAGGGAAGAACCAACCTGTGGGTTCCTGCAGGGGGCGGGGCAGGGGCCCGGGCAGAGCCGGGGGCAGAGACGCAGGGCTGATGTCCAGTACCGGGCGGGGCTACCTGTCCCCCTCACACCCCTTGGCCAGTTGGGAGGGAACAGAGGCTCGGGGACGCCCCTGAAACGCCCGGCATTTAGGGGACAGGGGTATGGCCAAAGGGAGAGCACTGGGAGTCTGCAGAGAAGGCCCAGGCAGGGGTGAGGGGGTGGGGGCGAGGCCCCTGGAAGTGCCTGGGGAGGGGGGGGGAGGGGGGCGGTGGGGCGGTCCCCCACCTGCATTTTCAAGATCTCCACCACCCGTTCCATCTGAATCAGGCCAGGACCCTCGGAGCAAGCACCGGCGGGCAGGGAGCCCCCCCCCCCCCACCACCCCGCCCCATCCACAGCCAATGCGTCCTACAGCCTGGGGGGGCACAGGCCCCGGGGCGAGGGGGACAGCCCCAAAGTGCACATCCGTGCCATGTACAGTTGCCTCCTCAAATTCACTGCACTCCCGTGGCCCCCAGGAGAAGCAAACCCCACTAGGGAGGACGGCCAGGGGGTCCCCACTCAAAGCTGCTGGGGCCATGGTGGGGGTGCCGTGGTGGTGACTCCACCCCAGCCCTCACGCTCTGCACCCCTCGGTCCCGGCCAGCCTGAGCGAGCAACAACAACAAAAAAAAAGCAAATTGCCCTTTTCTTCCCTCCACCCTCCCTCAGCCCCCACCGAGCCTCTGGGCTCCAGAACTGTAAACAATGAGCTATTTTCTGCTCCCCCGGGAAAAAGCACGGCACCGCGGCCTGTCCCCCGCCACAGTCCCCCGAGCCCCCCGTGAGGGGCAGCTCTGCACATTCAGCAGTGGACGCTCGGCCCGGAAGGGAGGGCGCCCCGAGGCATCCCCGAGATTGCACCGTCCTCCCAGTTTAAATACCCGCCCCCTCCCCGCAGCCGCGAGCTCAGAGCAAGCCAGACCCCCCACCCCACCCTGCGCTCGCTCCCACCCGCTCTCCACAGTCTCCCACCCCGGCAAAACGCCGTGGCCAGAGGGGGGCGGGGAGGCGGGTCGCCGGGGAGGGCTGTGGGCAGTTCCTGAGCTGGCCCTTGGGGTGGCCTTTTGGGGGCCACGGAGCACTCCGGGGCCGGAGGCGCCCCTGGCTTAGGTGGGCTCCGACCCCCACTCCCCAGAGGCCTCGTCCCGGAAGAGAGGGGCCGTGTCTGTCTCCCACCCCGGCTTCCCGCGGGGGTGTCGGGCCCGGGCTGCGGGGGCGTGGGGCGGCTGCCCGTCGTGCTAGGGCCGGTAGATCTTGATGACGTCCTTGAGTGGCCGCCGGCAGATGGGGCAGCAGGGCCGTGCCTGGCGCTTGAGCCGCAGGCCGCAGCTGTGACACAGACACATGTGTCCGCACGTGTAGATGACCGTGTCCACCTCGCCGTCGAAGCACACGGTGCACTCGCTGTTCTTGCTGCCCGCCGGCTCCGGGGGGCAGAAGGTGGGGGACACAGGGGGGCTCAGCGGGGAGCTGGGGGCCGTCACTGCAGAGAGATAAGAGCACAAGGCACGCCGAGGTGGCTCCACAGCGGGCCAACTGAGGCACCAGAATGGGGTTTGGCCGGCGCCTCGTGGCCTGACCCCAAGGACTAGACCTTTCTCTCTCTCTCTCTCTCTTAGGCTTTGGTTCACATCTGGAAGTGCTCAGGGGTTACTCCTGGCTCTGTGCTCAGGAATCACTGCTGGTGGGGCTCGGGGGCTCGAACCCGGGTCAGCCACGTGCAAGGCAAGTGCTCTCCCGGCTCTACTATTGCTCCAGCTCTCATTTTTGTTTTGGGGCCACACTGGGCGGTGCTCAGGGTTGACTCCCGGCTCTGTGCTCAGGGACCAATCCCAGCAAGGCTCAGGGGGTTCTATGGGTGTGGAGGTGGAGCCCGGGTCCCCGCTGCGCTATGGCTCAGCCCCTTTCTTACACTTGAGGTACCCCTGGGGGCGACTCTCCTCCCGCCACCGTTGCCGGCTGCAGGCACAGCCAGGAAGGTGCCAACGATGCTTGGATTCAGGCTGGCACGGAGAGGCTGGACCCCACCCCGGCGGGGGCCCCCGCTTCCTTACCTAGGGACGACTCGGAGGCTGAGGACGACTGGTTGACGCTGAAGGCCATGTCGGAGTCGCTGTCATCCTGGGAGCCGCTCAGAGAGCCGGAGGGCGTGGTGGTGGCGGGACTGGACTGCAACGTACCTGGGACCAGAGAGATTCCAGTAGGGCGGGGGAGGAGCTGCCTCGGGAACCCACCCGCGTGTCCACGGCTGCCCGGTGCCTTGGTCCCGAACTCACACCACGGACACCCAGACCGCCAAGGCATCTGTCCCCATCATCTCCCTTTTTAGCTGAGGGCACTTTGGACGGGGCTTGTCACTCGCGAGGGCCAGGGTGGACGACGGACGTGTGGGACAGGGTGCCCTGTGGGTTCAGGGAACGCTCTTCTGGGTGAGGAGAGGCCCTTCCCGTGCCCCCAGGTGAGGACAGATGGCCAGGAAACTCAGGTCAGGGCTGCCAGCAGGCCGGGTCGGAGGCAGAAGCCTCCTTTTCTTGCCTTCTTGTCCTGACCACGCAAGAGGTCTCCGTGCTCTGGGGGTGCTGGGAGGGGGAAGGACTCTAGGCTTCGTTTTGTCTTGGGGCCACGCCTGGAGGTGCTCAGGACTTACTCCTGGGGGTGCCGGGGAATCGAAGCTGGGTCGGCCGGCGCCCGACTGGCTGCACTATCAGCCCTGCACTGATTTTCTTTCTCCTGTCCTTCACATGTGCTGCTTACGCTTGTGGCAGCAGAAACCACATACACCAGAGCCCAGAACTTGAAAACACCGAAAAAAAAATCTGTTCCTCGGGGCAGCCAGCCTGCAGCTGGCCAGCCCCTGACACCAGCTGGTGCTGGGGGATATGAGGGGTGCAGCGGAGGTCCGGGCTGGGCGCTCGGGGCCTCCGTCCTCCCCGGGGAGGGTCCCCCGGGCTGCTCCTTCGCGCACGGGGCTGGGGACGCGCGCACGCGACGCGCGCGCGGGACACTCACCGAGGAGGCGCAGCTGGCCGGCGGCCCCGCCGCGCACGGCGAAGAAGGCCCAGAGCGCCTGCGTGGTGTCCACGCACAGCAGGCGTCCGCGCGGGCGCCCGTTGACGCCCAGCAGCACGTCGCCGCCGGGCCGCAGCGTGAAGCTGAGCGCGTCGCCGCCGCTGGCCACGGGCCCCGCGCGGGCCACCACCCAGTACTCCTTGCGGTCCAGCAGCGCGTCGGGGTCGGCGGGCAGCTCGGCGGGCCGCAGCGCGCCCGGGTCGCACGACGTGATGCCGAAGGCCAGCGCGCCGGGCGCCGCCAGCCCCGGCCGGCCCACCTCCACGCACAGGCTCTCCCCGGGCCGCAGCGGCCGCTCGCAGAACACCAGCGTCCGGCCGCCGTCGGGCCGCGGCGCGCAGGCCACCTTGCGGTCGGCCGACAGGCTCACGTCCGGCCCGCGCGTGGCGTGGAAGCGCGCGTCGGCCTCCAGCAGCGCCGGCCAGGACGCGGGGCGCGCGCGCTCGCGGGGCGCGCCGCAGGGGATGGCCGCGGCGGCCGCGCCCCCGGGCGCGTCGGCGGGCGCGCGGCCCAGCGCCAGCTGGCCCAGCTTGGCCACCACCTGGTGGCTCTCCAGCTCGTTGTTGTCCAGGTTGGCCGCGTCGTGGCTGCCGGGCGGCGGCGGGCAGGCGCTGAAGCGGGCCTGGCCCAGGCGCGCGGGCGGCAGCGTGTCGGCGAAGGCGCTCTCTGCGGGGACAGAAGGGAGGGCGCCGGTGGTGAGGGACGCCCCTGCCCCCCGCCCCGGGGGGCCCTGGCCTCGCTGCTCCCTCCCTCCCTCCCTCCCTCCCTCCCCCTGGGGCTCTGCCCGCCCCCTCCCACCACCACCCCATCTCACTCGGTAACTGGGAAACTGGGTACTGGGCACTTGGTAACCAACGGGCACTGGGAACTGGGTACTGGGCACTTGGGAACTGGGCACGGGTCACTCCGGGCCATCCTGGGGGGCACCACAGGGTGCTGGGATCCAGCTGGGCGTGGCCACAGGCCAGGCAAGCAGCACCCTGACCCCCGTACTCTCCCTCCGTCCGTTTGGGGGGCCATACCCAGCCGTGCCCAGGTGGGTATGGCTCTTGGCTCTGCGCTCAGAGCTAACTCCCAGCTCTGTGCTCAGGAGACCAAATGGGACCCAGGCCAGCCGTGTGCAAGGCAGGTGCCCCCCCCCCCCACCGCTGTCCTATCGCATCTTCTTCCCTCCTCCCCCCCTTTCAAGGATTTACGATTTTGGAGGCGGTAACGTGCAGATCCCTAGATGTTACCTCCCTCCTCTCTCCCCAAACACCGACTCCAAGGAAAAGGGCAAAGCTGATTCTGATGACGCGGGATGTCCCAAGGCCCCTGTGAGCAGCTGGTCCCCTGCAGGAATGTCAGGGCCTGTGAGGGCTGTGCTGACCGAGCAGGGGACGGGGGCACAGAGAGGTCAGGGAACAGGCCTGGGGTGGCACAGCAGCTAAGAGGCACAGCCCCCCCCCTCCCCCGGGCTCCACAGTCTCCGGCTCTCCAAGTGCTGCCCTGAGGAAAGCAGGCCACGGCTCTGTCCGCACAGCGTCACCGTCAGCCAGTGGTTCCGCCACCAGCCGGACACATAGCCACTGCCCAGCAGAGATACTGGTACCCGGGCAGGCGGGCCGGCCACCCCCACTGAGGTGGGCCAGCAGGAGGCGGGACTTGGGCGTGCGGGGTGACCCGGGGAAAGCACCAAGCAGCCTTTCCCAAGCTGGCGACGCAGGAGGTCACGGGTCCCGGAGGGGCTGGGGAACTCAGCGGAGGGATGGGGGCCCAAGGGGTTTGCCCTGCATGTGGGGATCCCCCCCCCCGGCACCTGGGCACCCGGCAAGGGTTACGCCTGCACAGAGCCAGCAACAGCACCTCAGGTGGACTCAGTCTAGAGAACGGGAAAAGGCTTTATTTTTTTTTTTTGGCTTTTTGGGTCACACCTGGCGATGCACAGGGGTTACTCCTGGCTCTGCACTCAGGAATTATCCCTGGCGGTGCTCAGGGGACCATATGGGATGCTGGGAATCGAACCCGGGTCGGCCGCGTGCAAGGCAAATGCCCCACCCGCTGTACTATTGCTCCAGCCCCGCTTTCTTATTTTTTAAGTCAAGTTGTGATCAAAGACTTCTGAGAGGGGAGAGAAGCGTCCTCTATGCGGCCGGCTCGGGTGAGGCCTGGAAGCATAGGGGATGAGCGGCCAGCACCCATCTGATAACAGCCTTCACGCCTGGCAAGAGGGGAAGTTCATCTCAAATCGGAAATGAAAAGCTCTTTTTTTTTTTGTCCTCCTAAAGGACGCCGAGTGCCGGCTGAGACCGGCTGTCCCAGTGGCTGTCCAACAGGTGGCGCTGTTCCAGACCCGGCTCCCTGGTCTTTCTCTAAACACTTTCCCTTTCTTTTTCTGTTTGTTGTTTCTGGGCCACACCCCGCGTGCTCAGGGCTGACTCCTGGCGCTGCACTTAGGAATTACTCCTGGGGGGCTTCCGGGACCCTATGGGATGCCCGGGATGGAACCCAGGTTGGCTGCATGCAAGGCAAACACCCTCCCCGCCGTGCGATTGTTCCAGCTCAGACTTTCAATTTTTAGGGGGGCTTCTCTGGGTCACACCTGGAGATGCTCAGGGGTTACTCCTGGCCATGTACTCAGGGACCGCTCCTGGCAGTGCTCAGGGGGTCCATATGGGATGCTGGGGATTGAACCCAGGTTGGCCGTATGCAAAGCAGATACCCTACCCGCTGAGACTTTCATTTTTGAAAAATAAACATCAATAGTGTAGTGGACACGGACGACAGAGTCCAGACAGTACCGAGACTCTCTGTCCATACTGCCTGGGACACCCCACCAGCGCACCCAGAGTATTTGAAGCAGATTCTCAGGCGTGGAAGCCGGGGAGAGAGCACCCCAGCCCCTGGACCACCATGAGAGTGGCTCCAATCTAAAAACAAAAGCGCATTTGTGGGGCCAGAGAGTGAAGGCTCACGCCTGCTTTGTGCCAGCACACAGCACCTGGCCCTCTTTCCTGCCCGGGCTCACTCAGGACAAGCAGTGCTGGAGGCCGAGGGTCACACCCAGCTGCTGCTGTGTCCTGCAGTGCTGGGAACCCTCAGGGTCACCCAGGGCCAGGCCTGACGGGGTTCTGGGGGTCTCCAGCCCTGCACCTGGCGATGGTGGGCATGAGCTGTTAGGAGAGAACAGAGCCTGTGTCCCTCGCCTGGCACGGTCTCTCCAGCCCCCTCTGCATCTTCTTGTCTTCTTTTCCTGTCATTAGCTTTGGGGCCACACCCGGCGGCGCTCAGGGACCCATGGGTGCTGGAGAGCAGGCCCGGAGCCCCTGCATGGAAGCCTGCATCAGCCCGGGGAAGGGAGGGGGCTCTCTCAGGCTTACTGTGACTGTAGGAAGGTTTACTGGAAAGCAGGAGGGAAGGGAAAAGAAACACCCCACTCAGTAGGGACTGAGTATCAGACTTTAAGTCCCGACCTTTCCTGATCATAAATCATAGTTGATAAGTTGGGTGGGGGGAGGGGCGTGGTGGGACGAAGAGGTAAAGGTAAAGGTAAAGGTAAAGGCCCTCCCATTGATCGTCGATTTGCTCGAGCGGGCCCAGTAACGTCTCCATTGGAGACTTTGTTGTTACTGTGTCTGGCATATCGAATACTCTCGGTAGCTTGCCGGGCTCTCCGAGAGGGGCGGAGGAATCGAACTCGGGTCGGCCATGTTGGCCGCATTTAAGGCGAACGCCCTACCCGCTGTGCTGAGAGAAGGGAAAAAAAACCCCACCCACCATCCCTTTCTGAAGATATATCGCATGTCAGGTAGCCCAGGCCCTGGGAGGGGAACAGCTGTGACGCTTCGATCGCGAACCAGCCTGACAATTAATTCCCTCGTATCCCCTGGAACCTTCAGGACAGAAAACAAAGCAGCCGCCCTTGCCCTCCTGACTGTAAACCGCAACTGGGCGCCTCTGGGTGTTGCCAGGTAACAGCAGGTAATTCAGAGCCCCGGACGGGCCCCACAATGACCCGCAAGGAAATGCCTTCTGGTAGCCTCTGCCCTGGGGCCTGCATCTGCGAACTTGGGTCTGAGGCCTGGGTCCAGGTGTGCCCCACCAGGTGACGCTGGCAAGTGGGGTGCCCTGTGCCACCTGACCCCCGGGGTCGGGAAGGGGCTAGAAAAGGATACGGACATAGGAGAAGAGACCCCCGAGTCGTCATGGGCCAATCAGGGGCCAGAACAGGCTGCTTCCAACACGGCCAGTTTTTCTTTACTTTCTTCCTATAGTTTGGGGGTCTCACTGGGTGATGCTCAGGGATCACTCCTGGTGAGGCTGTGGAGGATCCTATGGGCTACCAGGAATTGAGTCTAGTTGGCAGGTGCCCCGTGTTTTTGTTTTGGGGCTTATTCCTGGCTTTGCACGCGGAAATCTCTCCTGGTGGGGGTCAGGGGGGCCGTATGGGGGCCGGGAGTTGAGGCCCGGTCCGTCTTCCCATGCGGTACTGCCACTTCATAGATTTTTTTGTTTTTGGCCACACTGGCGATGCTCAAGGGTTACTCCTGCCTGTGTACTCAGGAACCACTCCTGGCAGGCACTGAAGAGATAGTGCACTGGGAGAGGTACCTGTCTTGGATGTGCCCAACCTGGGCTTGATCCTCGGCATCACATATGGTCCCCCCGAGCACCACCAGGAGTGATTCCTCAGTGCAGAGCCAGGAGTGTGGCCATCGCATCGCTGAGTGTGGCCAAAAGGAAAAAGAAATGAGTCCTGGCAGTGCTCGGGGACCACCTGGTGTTCTGGGGACCTAACCCCGGTCAACTGTGAGCAAGGCAGGTGCCGTCCCCTGTACTAAGGCTTGAGCCCTCTCCGTAGGTTTTCCAAGTCCCCGTCCATGGCAGCGACTGAGGCCGGGGCTGCTGGAGGTGCGGCAGATGGGACAGGGGCTGAGTCCCTGCTCGGTGGGCGCAGAACCCCCACACAGCCATGGGAGAATCTCGCAGGGCTTGGGAACCTACATCTCCGGAGGGGGAATGCCAAACCCGCCGGGAGAAAGAATGTATGGCAGGAGAGGGCAGGGAGCGGGTGGGTGCCCAGTGCCCGCTGCCATTTAGTGTCTGCCCTGGGTGACTGCTTCCTGGTTGGGGGCAACACCTGGTGGTGCTCAGGGTTTGCTCCCAGCTCGGTGCTCAGGGGCCCTACAGTGCCGGGATGGAGTTCGGGGCCCCGTCCGCAAACCCATGCTATGGCTCTGAGGTCTCCCTTGGGCCGGCCGAGCCGGGGCTGCCACCTTGCTGGCACCCCCCCCCCAAGCGGACATGCTCATTTTCCTCCTTTCCTACCTGCGATTCCTTGCACCCTCTCGATGCCACTACTTGAACGCCCTCCCGAGCCCTTTGCAAATAAATGGGGGCTCAGAGACGGTCAGCCACCTGCACAAGGTGACACAGCGGAGTCACCTGATGTCAACCCCCACCCCCTTACTCAGGAGTCCCATGGGGGCATGGGGAGGGGGCTGGAGTTTGAAGGGGTTAGCCAGGGTTTTGCCTCAATACGCAGGACTGGGCTGGAGAGAGGGGACAGCTTGCCTTGCGTGTGGGCGACCCGGGTTGCTTTGCCAGTGGGTGACCCCCCTGGCATCCCATACGGTCCCCCGAGCACTGCAGGAGTGATTTCTGAGCGCTGAGCCAGGGGTAAGCCCTGAGCACGGCCAGGTGTGACCCCCAAACAAACAACAACATCAACAAAAAGATGGACATGCTGACCTTGGCCCACCCACGGCCTGGACTGACCCCGCCGCCCCCCCACCCCCAATCAGGGAAGGTCTCAGCTCCCACACTCCGAGGAAGGGGCAGACATGGACATATGCTGGCTTCCCCCACGCAGGGACCAGAGAGATGCATAGGCGGGCAGGGCGCTGGCCTTTCATGTGGCCGGCCAGGCTGCAAGTCGGGGCCTCCAGAGCCCACCAGAGTTAAGGTACAGCACAGAGGGGGTGGTCCCAAACCAAAGAACAGGCACGTGGAAATCTCCGTGATGGTGGGACGGGGATGGGGGGTGGGGGGGTGTCTGCTTCCCTGGGTTATGGACAAGCCCGGACGCCTGTCAGAACATACGGGCGGTTGGGGCTGGAGCAATAGCACAGCAGGTAAGGTGTTTGCCTTGCACGTGGCCCGACCTGGGTTCGATTCCCAGCATCCCCTCTGGTCCCCCAAGCACCGCCTGGAGTAACTCCTGAGTGCAGAGCCAGGCGTAACCCCTGTGCATGGCCGGGTGTGACCCGAAATGCAAGAAAAAGCAAATATATATATATATATATATATATATATATGTGATATGTGGGAGAGAAAGCCCAGGTTTGATCCTGCACCCCTACTCAGAACACCTCCAGAAACAACCCCCTAAGTACTAAGTAGCCCCTTGATTACCACTGGGTGTGGCCTTAAAGTCAAACCCCAAACCAACACACACACACAACTGAAGCAACAGTAAATAGTACAGCAGGCCGGCCTGGGTTCGTTTCCAGCATCCCCCCTAGGGTCCGCCCCAGGAATGATCCCTGAGTGCAGAGCCAGGAGTCAGCCCTGAGCACCAGCAGGCATGGTCCCCAAACGCAACTGCTCTGAGCGAGAGAAAGCAGAGGCGGGAGAGAACAGGTGAGCCCCAGTGCCGCCGTGGGGGAGCAGGAGGACGCACCCGGGGAGGAGTCCAGACGCTAGAGCCCGGAGCCTCGGTCTTTTCATCTGTGGAGTGGGGGCGGTTAGGGTGCCAGGGAACGCCAGACAGCTCCAACAGGCGTGGGGGGCGGGTGGAGAGGCCGGTGCAGCGGGGGTGGGTGCGGTGGGTGGGTGGGGGGGCGTGGACCTACCGAGCAGCTGCACCTCGTCCGTGATGCCGTAGACGTCGATGAGCGCCCAGAGTGGGCCGCCCACGGCCACGCCGCAGTGGAAGAGCACGGGCTCGCCGTCGTTGACGCTGTAGAAGACGCGGCCGTGGCGGTCGGCCCAGTAGGCCAGCACCGTGTCGCGCAGCGCCAGGCTCTCGGGCAGCGCCTTGGCCCAGTAGCCGGGCCGCGTGACCAGGTCCGGGCAGGCGTACTTGGGGATGTCCTGCGCGCTCATGAGCGAGGGGTCGTGCGCCGTGAAGCCGAAGCGCAGCGCCCCGCTCCAGCCGGGCCGCACGGCCACCAGGCGCAGCCGCACCTGCTCGTACAGGCGGATGGGCCGCTGCGTGAAGGTGACGCCGTTGCAGAAGCTGTTCCGCCGCGTGGCCCGGCGCGAGTGCCCGTCCAGGCGCACGTTCTTGCCCTTGGCTTGCGCGTGGAAGCGGGGCGCCTCGCCCAGGGCCGGCCGCCGCTCGGGGCCGGGGCCGGGGCCGGGGCCGCAGCAGGGGCGCGTGGCCAGCAGGCGGGCGGGCGGGCTCGGGTCTGCGGGGCGGGGGAGAGACAGGGCGCAGGGTGAGGTGGCGGCAGCACGCGGGGGCGCGAGCCCGCCTCTCCACCCGATGTCCACTTTGCTCTCGGTGGGCGGGGGGCACTCCCCACCCACCGCCGCCCTCCCGCAGAGCTCAGGGTTCGAGCTCAAAGTTGCACGTGCCGACAACTGTGCTCTCTTCCAGAGAGAGTCCCGGGAGCTCGGCATTTACTCCACGGAAACAGCGCGCGAGGGGATGGAACAAGTGGGCCCCATCTCTAAAGAGGTCCCCGGGGAACGGAGAGCTAGCACAGCCGTTCCCCTGCGCCCTGGGCCTGACTCCTGGCACCGCTGGGCACCCCCATCCCAGCACCACCGGGGTGGGGGCACTGAACCACCGCCGACTGTCTTGAGAATCGCCCCCTGAGCACTGCTTGGGAGCCCCATCCAATCATCCCTCCAGGTCTGCCCAGGGAGAGTGGGTTCCCCAAGCGAGCGTGGCCTGAGGTTCGGGAAGCCCCGGGGCGGGCGTGGCCGGGAGCCTGGCAGCCAAACTGAACTTCATCACGTCAACCTCGCAATGAATCCTCCAGCCCCGTGGCTGCGGAGGGAGAGGAGCGCCCCGCCCCGCTCCCCCCCCCCCCCGTTTTCACACCCTCGGCTGCCGTGTGGCAAGTGTCTGGTCCCCGCTGGCACGGCGCCAGGCAGCCGCCCAGCTGTTCCTCGGCCCTGGGCCAGAAGTCCAGGCGGCATCGCGTTTGCTTCCCGGGAGGAAATCTGCCCCTGCCCGCCTGGGTCCAGAGTTCCAGGGGGAACAAGGGGGTCCTCCTTCCCCCACTGGGGCACCCTGCACGTCCACGTCCCTTCTCCAAGCTGGTGGCCGTACCCATCCCTGTCCCGGGCATTCCGCAGAGCCTTTGTCCCCTGGCTCCACCTGGCTCCACTGACGTCTCCTCAGCTGGACCTCAGATGGACCTCCTCGTTCCATCGAGGTCCCAAGTGTAAGCCCCCAGACAACCCCCTTCCTGGGCTCAGCGCTGCTGTCCCCAGATAGCCGGGTGGACAAAAGTTCCTGGTGGCTGGCACCGGGCTGGGGTTTCCAGGGACACTTTGCCATGGACCGGAGTGATAGCTCCCCTGCTTGCGGCCGACCTGGGTTGGATCCCCGACACCCCAGATGCCCCCCTGAGCCCCGCCAGGCGTGCTCCCTGAGTGCAGAGCCAGGGCTAAGTCCTGAGCACTGCGGTGTGTGGCCCAAAACAACAACAAACAAAAGACAGGGAGATGAGCAGAGACCTAAGGTGTGACTGGCCCAGCAGGGAGGAAGCCATGGGGGGGTGGGGTGCAGGGGACTGGGAGTGGGTGAGACGGGAGGGTGTTGGAGGAGGGGCCTTGTGAGAGTGCGGGAGCACAGACCCCCACCCCGGGGGCCCACCAGGCGCCTCCTCTCCGAGAACGGGGTGCGTGGTGGGGAGCAGAGGGCAAATCAGACTTTAACGGACTTTAACTTCTCGCTCTGGCATTTCTCAGCTGTACAGACACGCTCAGCCGCTCTGGGTCCCCCAAACCAGACCGAGATGGAGGGTGCAGGGGAGTCAGCCTCACTCCATGGGACGCCCCCCCCCCCCCCGCTGCAACCAGATGGGGATCAAGGGGGTCCTGAGTGCATGCTCAGGGCACCCTGGCTCTCTCGCTCTGTCCACCTCAACACCTTCCTGGGACAAGGACAGTGACAGGCTGGGGCAGCTGTGTCCTCTTGGGGAGCACTCCCCCCCCTGCAAGGCCAGGAGGACCTTGAAAACCAGCGCTCCCCTGACTTAGCATCCAGGTCTCAGAAGCTTGGGGCTTTTCTTTGTTTCTGTGTTTGGGTCACACCTGGTGGTGCTCAGGGCTTACTCCTGCCTCTGTGCTCAGGGGTGACTCCCGGCTGTCCTTGCGGGACCATTTGAGGTGCTGAGGATTGAACCCGGGCCAGCCACATTCAGGGCCAACACACTGCCCGGGGGACGATCTCTCTAGTCCCAGAGGCTTGGCCTGCACCCCCCAACACACACACACACACACACACACACACACTTACGCACATGCTTGTCCCATGGTGCCTGCCCCTTTGCCCAGCCCCGTCTCATCCTCCCTTCTACAAGGAGTCGAGGAAACGGCATTTGAGGCCGGGAGGATGGCGGCAAGCGACGGCCCGCATTCCACGCCTGTCTGTTGTTGGGGATTTCCCGGGGGTCCCCCACTCCCGGGAAGGGATGCTCTCGCCCACGTTCTGTTTCCCTCCCTCCTGCTCGGGGGCTCATGGAGCAGCTTCGTCTAACTTCCCGGAAGTCAGCCTGCAGGGTCGGTTTTTCCCACTTCGCGTTTCCCGTCAGCGAGACCAAAGAAGCTAAGCTGCGCCAGCCAGGGACGTCACCCTGCGCACCCCTCTGGCTTGTCACCTTCGGGCCTGGTTCAGAGCAACAGAGCCGGAACGGGGGCTCAGAAGCAACGTGCCCGGCTCTGAGGTCACGCCTGGGGACGACAAAACAAACAGACAAGAGCCACCCAGGATAAGAAGATGATGGAAGACATCGATTTATATAGGTATCTCTCCCCAGACACGTGCGCACACACATACAAACACACACACACGCGCGCACATTCCACGCGTGCATAATTCCAGAATCACCAGGACCTTCCTCAACCCAACAACATCCGACCTCAGAGCCTCTTGGAAGAAGTCTCTGGCTCTAAAGCCATTCAGTCCAAAGACATCGTCCAATGTGGGTGCACACACACACATGCATGCGTGCACACGTGTCTACCTATGTGCAGAACACACGTGTATGCTATGTGAACACACGGGCACATATGTGCGCATGCATGTAGGTCTGTGTGCATCAGTGCATGTATGTACCTGTGCGCGCACATGTGTGTACGGGTGCATGTGTGCACGTTGTGTGTGCAGGGGCAAGTGGGCGGACTTCTTTCCCGCCTCAGGAGGAAAGCCACGGCTGGCATTTGGCCGTTGTTTCCTGCTGCCAGAGCAGGGCCGGCCTGGCGCGCGGCCTTGGGTCGCTCCCCTCCCATTGGTGGGTTTGAAAGGCCACCCAGGTGGCCAACCCGCGCTCACCTCGGCCAGCGAGGGCAGGGGACACGCGCCCCGAGGCGGCTGCCAGCGCGAGGGACTTTGTTCTCTGCTGCCCTGGCTCAGCGGCCAGCACCTGGCGTGGACAGGGGCCAGCCCGCGCCGAACCCCTCCCCTTTTCTCTGCAAACAAAGCCTGTTGCGACCCCAGGAGGCCTGCAGACCAGGGCGAGCACCCTCCACCCCACCCCCCCGCCCCCTGTGACACCCTCTGGGCTCAGTTCCCAGGGGCTGAGGTCATCTGATACCCGAGACTTGCTGAGCTGACCCCTACCTCCGTGTGTGTGTGTGTGTGTGTGTGCATGTGCGTGTGTGTGTGTGTGTGTGTGTGCGAGTGTATGCTATGTCGTCCCCCCCTCCCCCCGACAGAGGTCCCCTCCTGACACTCGGACCCGGGAAACCGCAAGCTCCGAGGCGTGGGCTCCGGGGTTGGGGCCCCCTCTGCCTGCTGCCAGAATGTGTCTTCATTCTTTGTCGACTGCATCACTTCCTCCATCTGACATCCGCTCCCTGCCAGGCCGGCGGCGTGGGCTGCAGGGACACCTGCCCCCGCAAGTCACAGGCTGTCCCTGCGGGGAGCCAGGACCCCAGCAGCAGGGGGATGGACACCGGCAGGGAGGGGCAGGAGGGGCAGCTTCTGGGGGGAAGGCGGAGCCCTTCTGCAGAGTGAGGAAGCTGGGAGGAGCTGGAAGGATGGGGAGGACTCTCTGGCAGAAGAGGAAGGGGTGGAGGCGAGAAGGGGCTGCGCGAGTGCACGTGGAGCTGAGCCGGGGTGTGGAGGCAGGGGCAGATCACAAAGGGCCTTAAAGGCAGGGCAGTGGAGGTTAAGGTGCCTCACGACTTGGCAGATGGCTGAGAGGCTGGTCGCAGGGAAGAAAAGTCCAGAACGCAGAGCCTCTCTGGAGGCGGAGACCCAAGCCCCGACTCTTGCCCTAAGAAGGGTCCCTCACCCCCCACCCTGCCCTCGCTTTCTCCCTGGCTGAGCGCAGGAGTGAGAAACTGGCCGGCTTTGGATGCTGCCTCCAACGGCTGGCACGGTTGGCAGGTCCTAGCCCTGGCTGCGGGCAGCTGCCCGCCGAGAAGCCCAGCGTCTGCCCACTGTCGCCTCCTCTCGGCTTGAGGACGGTGATTCCTGCAGCCCCCAGAACCCCACAGCCCAGCTGAACTTTTCGAAACAACAGATTCACTCGCCGCTTCTGTGGGTCCCAGCTGAGGGGGGTAGCGGCGGCCACTCCCCCGTGGCTGGACAGCCCACCGGTGGGCTGACGCTCGGCTCCTCCCGGACCGAAAGCACTAGATCACATCCAGGGAGCGGGCGCTAGTGGCCATCACCCAGCACTGCCCATCCGCAGGTGTGAAGGAGCCCGAGAACACGGCCGAGAACCTCCCCACTGTCAGACCCCCTGAATATCAGACCCCCATCAGACCCCAATGTCAGACCCCCGTTACTGTTCAGAGCCCCCCACCGTCAGACCCTCTGAATGTCAGGCCCCCCTCACTGTCGGACCCCCTCTCAGTGGTGGGGAGCCCCTCTCACTGTTGGACACCCCCCAGGTCTAACGCCCTCCTTCCCTGGTACTCCTCTTTCAGCCGCGGGGCGTGCCCAGAAGCCATGGTCTGGGGGTACCTGGGATGGGCAGAGCAGTGCGGAAGGAGGGAGGGGGGCGCTGGTCAGCGGAAAGGAGCCCAGTGCCCTGCGATGGACCAAGGCCCGGCAATGGTCACCTGGGTGGAGCATGAGGGGACAGCGCTTGGCCCCTCCACCAGGCAGGCCTGGGACCCTGAGGGGGCTCTCGGACCCTGCTGGCCAGGAGGATGAGAGGGCTGGGGGGTCTGCCACGGCCACGGGTGGGGGTGGGCGGACTCGGGGGATCTAGCTTTCAGG